ATCACACAACAGAGAATCACCAGGAAAGAGAGGCTCAGTGAGAGATTATCAAGGTCAAATGAGCCAATGCATGTCTACAGGAGACTGTCTGCGTAACTGATGTGAGAAGACCCAGACTGAACCCAGACTGAAGGTGGGAGACACGATGCCCAGACTGTGTAAGAATGAAAAAGCCAGCTGAGCGCAAAGCGCGAGTGCCTTTATTGCATTCTGCCCCTGACCACAGACGCGCTGTGAGGAGCTACCTCAGCCTCTGCCACGGTGACCTCTCCACAGTGATGGACTGCAACCTGGAGTCATGAGCTAAAATACAAACCATTCTCCCCTAATTTGCTTACTGTTGGAATAATTGATCACAACTACAGAAATGGAACTAGGGCAGCCCCCATACCCTGGCCAGCAACATCTTCTCCAGTTCCCCTCAGCCCCCTGGCAGAAGCCCCCACCTCAGCCAGGGCCTGTGCATGTGTTCAGGCCCCTGCCTAAGTGCAGCTGCACACCTGACACTGGTTTGTCTCCTCATCCAAAAATCACCATATCAGTGACAGTTCACCAGTAACCTTATTTACAATCCACCCCCAACATTTTCTAACAACCCCCCTCCCCCATGCCTAGCTTCACTGCTTGAATCTTCTGGAACCTATCACTACGGATGAGCACCCCCACTTCCCAATAGAATACAGGCTCAGAGGGGGCAAGAATCTTCATGCTCCAATCTCTCTACATTTCAGAGCTTGCCTTACATGGTAGGCATTCAAAAAGTACTTGTAAATGGATGGATAATATACAGTTCATATAATCTTAACACAACAAGTAAAAAATAATGTTTCCTTATTTTAAAAGTCCAGACTTTGCTGTATCTTGGGGTAGTACATTGGGACCCTGTAGCTCCTAGGATCCTTCCACACATAGCCAAGTACCCAGCAAGGCTCATCCACTCCAGATGGAGGCCCGGCCTAGGCTGGAACCAACCTCCCTGCTGTGGAATGATAGGGTCTGGTCAATGCTGCAGAGCCTGCTCATGACCCTGGCCTCGTGTCTAGATAACTCTTCTTCTAGGGCATATTTGCCTGTTACCCCTCCGATCTCCTTTCTTCCTCCTCATGCACCCTCTCTTGACCTCTTCTGTGTCTCTCCCATCATCATTAAGCGATTAATTTCTTCCATAGTATTCCAATTTCAAGCATTCCTAACTCCAATCTGCAAGCATTTCTAATGTGACTATATTTAAAGTGACCCCCCGCCCCCGTTGACTATGTAGGAGGGGTTACCTTAAGAGAAGCCATGCTTTACTCCCGTCATTTTATTTGGCTAAATACCGAGCAGAGAAATCAACCCAATGAAGATCCTCCATAAACACCCATGAAAGGACCAAACAGCAAGGAAGGAATTATGCAAAAAATAATTCAGTACTGCCCCAATGAAGATACCAAATATCTAGACTGAGGTCACTAGATACTATCATATAAATCCGACGATTCTTTACCCCATAACAGAGAAGGTATCTCCCCTACCTAGCTCTCAGGCAGTAGGACTTTTGCTGTACAGAGGACAAACACCTGTAAGATATCTTTGCTACTAAAGCATAGGTCATAGATTTTGCAACATATTTTAAATCCCCAAATTGATTAATCAGCATGGGAATAGCTAGACTGAACATAAGCCATGTCTAATACAACCATGCTTTTCCTGGTCTATGCCATTCAGAGAGAACACTGATAAGAGTTCTGTTGCCTGGGAAGAACATTGAAATGTAGCCAATGCACTCACCAGGTTAGAAACACAGACATGTAACATACATCACTGTGCATGGAGGTGATAATTCCACATTTATTACACCCTAATGCACAGATTACCAGAGCATTTCCAAGAAAATGTTTATTAATGGGTTTTAAGCAGTAGTAAACACAGGTAGTAAGTGCACACATTCTTGAGTCTGCCCACTTGGGTTTCAATTAACACACTCCCACTTAGCACTCTCCTGCCTCAGTTTGTGCAGAAGTTATTTATAGATGATTAGGTTAAACAGCTGTGAGAATTATATAAGCCAGAGAATGCAAAGGGTTAGAGTAATGTACACCCTTAGTGGTTATGCACTGAATTCTGTCTGGTGACCATTTTTGTGAGTCTAAACCTCAGGAGTGTTTTCCTGTGTGTTTCTGTAGTGACACCACTAACTGAAGTGCCATAGAAGCAGATACCTGCTCTGCCTTCAAATCCTGACCCAGAAAAGACGTTTGCCCCAACAATGTCTCTAGCACCTCTACCAATCTTGTTGAAAAGCTGTGGTGATTGACTGAATGCATCATTATGAAATTAACGGGAATCGCACAGAGGCACAGGTATCCAGCACAGGAGCTCTGGAGGCTGTCACCTGTCCTGCTGTCCCTCCGTCTCCCTCATCCCACCCGGATAAACACAGCATGGAGTCAGGTGGCTGGTCATAATCTGGGGACCAGAACAGTTTCATTGTATGGGACACTGCCGTCCTGGTTGACTGCTTCCTTCTCACTAACAGCAGGTTGAACTAGTACCCATCCTACCCTTTCTGCCTCCCACACTGCAGGGAGATAAAGCTCCCTAGACAGCAGAGCCTCCTAGGATTGATGCCAGACCAGACTGTAGACTGGACCCTGCTGATGTCACTGGGCAAATCACCTGGACTGGCTCTGTCTGGTTTCCCGATCCGCACTGCTGTGATATTGCTGTCCAGTAGACCCACTGGCAGGGTTTTAAGGGTTAAAGTAATGGGGGCATGAGAGCGGGGAGACACCAGACATTGGAGCTCTAGGGGAGGGATGCTGTTCTCATAAATGACCGAGGGCGCATTTGCCTTTTTCTATTCTTGATCCTTGAAGTCTGAACACTTTCTTGTTTCAAAAATATACATATTCAGGGAGGGAAATGTACTGACACTGAGTAATAGACATAATATATGATAATAAATAACAGGCAAACTTCTGCACTGAAAATGATGATGGAACATAAAACCATGTTTAAAGACCAGTGACACTCAACCAGCTGTGCTTAGTAATAAAGCTAAAACGGATGGAGCTTGCAGAAGAAAAATGAGAAAAGTAGGTCATATTTGGAGCTCTGTCTACTCCAGAAAAAAAAAACAATGTGTAAAAAAATAATCTGTATTCACCACTAGACTGTCCCATCTGCCTTGGCCTTTAAGTTATTTTGAGAGTTCTGGGTAGAGTCAGACAGTGAGATCATTCTCCAATTCACACTGAGGTTCCTCCAGCCACCTGGACGATTCTTTCCTTTCCCTGCCCAAGACCAAGCACACTTCGCACCAGCTATGAGGGTGTAGTTACCTGAATCAACAGCTACGGCCCAATAAAAGGATGGAGGGGAAATAAGAGCTACAAACAAGCCCAATGCTTTTCCTACCCCTCACTCCTGCAGGTGGGTTATTCTTGACTCTGGTCACACCTACTGGATGGGAAGTCTCCTGCCGTTCCAGAGAGATCATTTGGGGCTTACAGGGAAAAGTTGTTTCTTCGTGAAGATTTGGTGAAGGGCTCACATACCCTATCTGAGCCCAGAGCTGAGGCTCTGAGCACCACACCAGTTGGCCTCCACTGACACGACCAGAAGCTGTGCTTCAGAAAGCAAAACAGGCAGGGACACTTTAAAGATCCGCAGTATCTCCCGGGCGGGCTTATGTGGTACGGAGGAGAAAGAATGAAATGAAGATGAGCTTGCATAAGCTCGGGGAAAGGGGTGGCCGAGACAAAGGACTGGTTAGTTGGCTGTTTGTCTGTCTGCCGCTGTAGAACATGCCACCGTTATCTAAAAGCAACAGAGAGCTTGGTGTGTGAGCGTGCAAAGAACGTTTTCAAAACTCAAGACTGTGTCAGTTTAAAACTGAAACAAAAATGAACAAAATTTAAGTTAAATGGGAGAGACGCAGAAATGCCTGGATGTGGCAGAACCCCAGTGGGGATCAGGAGCAGATAACACCAACTCTGAACAACTGTCAGCAGTGTGAGAATAAGGACATGTCTCCTCCACAGGCTGGGAATAACAGGGGGAGTCATCATGAGATAAAACCAGGGCAAAGGTCCTACAAAAACATGGGATTAATCCAATTATAAATCTCTAAATCTGTTATCCCAACTCATTCAAATGATATAAAAACCCAGACACAAAATGAGGAAAAGCACACTCAAATGATGACTCACAGATCACTTTCTGTCCAATTTGAATTAAACCAAGCAAGGAAAAGCAAGCTGTCTAGGAAAATAGATGTGTACATGATGAGAATGTTTTCAACAGCCAGCAAATCCCCTTGTAGGGGAATTTGAAGGTTTTTCTTGTCACCTACGACGTTTTACACCAAAGAAACCCACAACCAAAATATGGTCATGTCTAAGAGGCCAAACTCAGACAGAAATCATTTGGGGGTTAATACTTAAAGCATGGCTCACCATGAGGACGGTGCTCTGCTGTTTTAAATTAAAACTGGTGTGCTTCTTTCGCAAAAACTTCATTTTTCTGTGAAGTAGTAAGCTGATCTTCGTTGGAATTCAGAGAAGAAACTGACCATTTAGTGAAGCTATACTCCAAGGAGATTAAAGAACTGGGTGATAACTTGTTCACAAGGTGAAAGGTACATCCCAAGAGTGTACAAGCCAGTCTCCCTAAGTGGCGATGGTCAGAGCCCAGGTTAAAAGCTCTACTACTTTGTCAAACCAAGACTTCTCTGTGGGCATGGCCTCCTCAGTCATGAGGGCCTGCAACCAGGTAAACCCCTGTCAGTTCTAAGACAGGGACAAAAGAACAGAGGAGGAAGAAGTATAAAGGAGTAGAAAAGAAGAGGATGAGCAGGAGAAGTAAGAGATATGATGGTAGGAGGGAGAGAATGGAGGAAAGGAGGACACCGAGGAAGGAGGACCATGCTCTCAGGGACTGTGAGGTCCACCCTGGTGCCCTCGTCTTTTCTTTCCCCTTAGGGAGAAATGGAGCCCAGCTCATCTGGGGGTTGTTACCTGAATGAGATCGTCCAGCTCGGTGGAGTTGACGCAGGCGTGCTGGGCTATGAAGGTCTGTTTCTGGATCACGATGGTGGTCCTCTGGGAGATCTCCTGAGGCTGCTCCAGTGCCTTGAACACAGTGGCTCCGATGATCAGGTAGAGGACGACCACCAGGAAAATCGTGGAGACTGTCTTCCATTTCATAACATTAATGGCCGTGTCAGTCTCCACCCGGGAAGCAAGCACGGTGGGTTTTGCGGAGAAGGACAGCCTCGGTTTGGAGTTCTGAGCGGCAGACTTGGGATCCAGCAAGTCAGGGGCCGCCACTGACAACAACAGAGAATTTGGGTTAGGCTAGAGGAGTCTGGAAGCAAGGGGTCAGCTGCTTCTTTAGGGGGTCAGCCGGGGCTGGCTGAACTCAGGCACTCTCCTAGTGGGAGCTGAGGGACCTCACCCCGCACGCAGCCTTCTCTAATCATTTCCAGAACCATATATAGGCTCCAGGGAGGGGGCTGGGCGTCTGCTCTTTGCTGCCAACGGAGTGCCAGGTGGATGGAAAAAAACAGGGGTCAGACCAAGAAGTCAAGAACTCAACAAAAGAATGCCTGAGGAGTTTCTCATTCTATATTTGTTTCTGCTCATGATTATGTATGTGTCAATGAAGATGCCGTGAGCTCCCAAGGGTTGATGGTACTAAACAAAATATCTGCTCACGAGGCAGGCTCACGGCTGACTCCTGTATATCAGACCTTTACACTGTAAGCAACCAGAGCAAAGAAGGTTTGCTGTTTGGGTTTTCTTACAGCGAAGGGATGGCGATCAGTGCAGTCAAAATATCCTTCCTACCTTCTGGTGGGAACACACCACTTAGCGCAGTCATATCTAAATCCCGTCTTCCAAAGTAAGCACATTATGAAACATGGTTCCGCCATCGCTCACATGCTTAAAACACACGAGTTATTGCTAACTCTTGAACCACACCAGCCAAGACAGGACCAAGTCCCTCTATTTCTCCAGCAAAATCAAGAGGAAAGAAAGGCAGCACATTGGCTTACACCTTAGGCCCTCCATGCTCTGCGCAAGGCTAATTGCTCCATTAGAGCTCCTGATTCTGTGGGGTGACTCCAAGTCCATCTATTATTTATCCAAACTCTTCAAAATCATCATTAATGGGTTTCATTTTAGAAAATACAAAAGCTATTCGATGGCCACTTGCGGAGGGGAAAATAAGCCATTCACCACAGAGCATTTGATTGGAGAGGCAAGAGCGAACTAATATGGGTTAACAGAATGGTCAAGAAGATGGAGCCTTAAACACCAACACAAATCATTGGTTTAAAGCCCACCACTTACAAAAACAAGCCAGATTGCTGCCATGTCTATAATATAGGTTTCATAAAAATGGTAACATAACCTAAAATTTACTTTTCGATATTCACATAGCAAATCCCCATGGACTTGCACCCTACAGCCTCAGAAATTACTCAAGGAGAAGACGCTTATAAAGAGCATCCATTTACACACAGCTACCCATCCTGCCCTCTAAATGTAGGCTACCACAGTGAGTTCATAAAGTACATCTCCAGTTGCCCATCTAAAAAAAGATACTCTCCAAACAAAGCTATTTGATGAACCAGACAAAGGGGGTTTGCAAAATGAAGGTGGGTGACAGGATCTCCTGGAGCAGCCGAGCTCACGGGAAGTTCTGACTTTGAAGAGATGAACTCATCAGAGCAGACCTGAGGATACAGCCCCTCCCCACCCCCCACCCCCACCCCCAGCCCCAGCAGCAGTTCTTCATGGAGACTCCCCAGGGTCAGCTTCAGCAGCTTCCTAAGTGAGGCTCAGCCCCCCACCACAAGTGGGGGTACCTCCCTCTCCACACATCTACCTGTTCTGAATCAAGTCACCAACTAAAAGACACCGTCACCATCCTGCAAGGGTGATGCCTCTCAAAGCAAGCACTTCAGCGGGTGTTAACTGTTTGGATTTTGACAATCTAATGACAGACGTGTGCTTACTACAGTTAGAGATCACTATCACCTGTAGCCACTCCAGCACTCCCCACCCCCTCCCTGCTGCTCAGAATCTGACCGAAAAATAATCTAAAATTGAGCCATCTTCTGACTTAAAAAACAGAACACAGCAGAGGAGTCCTGTATCTAATCATAAAGTCAGGTCCCCCACCCCCACCCCGGGGTACTGACTTTCACCCTAGGGCTGCTTTCTTGTTGAGAGAATTATAAACCACTATCATTTACCCAGCCCCAGTGTGAAATCCCACCAAAATATTGTCATGATGCACCTTGAGAGAGAGACAGACAGACAGACAGAGAGCGAGAGCGAGAGAGCAGATATGGTGTCTCCTCTCTCTCTCTCTCTCTCTCTCTCTCTCTCTCTCTCTCTCTCTCTCTCCCCCCCCCTCCCGTGTGTGTGTGTGTGTGTGTGTGTGTGTGTGTGTG